ACATAAAAAAAATAAGTTAAAAAAAAAGAAGACTATTGGGGCAGGCAGTATTTTACCAGATTCTTTTCTCTTTCTGCTTACAGGAGAGTGCAGTTGTCATGAAGGCTATGCCCCAGACCCAGTTCACAGACACCTGTGTGTGCGCAGTGACTGGGGACAGAGTGAAGGGTGAGTGGCAAAGGACATCAGGGCAGGGACAGGGGAGGACCCGCCTCCCCTGTGGCATTACCAAATGCCCCAAACTGCTCCACAAAGAGGACTCTTTCTCTGCCATGGTTGTGCACCTGATGGAGAGTGAATCCTATTTAGTATTAAGGGTACATGATTGACGAGTCTTCTAGAGAACAAAGGCTGAAGTTTAAGCTCACCCTCCCAGCCATACGTAATCAAAAACACTCTCTTGAGCGGACTGATGAAGAAGAACCAGCTTTTAAACGTAAACTCCAAAATGGACAAAGTGAACTTTAAAGTGCTGAGTCCTTCTGTAAAATGGAGACATTCTTTTATGGAATAAACAGTCTTAATCCATAATTACTTCTGCAAAATTTGGCTGTTTGTAATGCTGCTCTTAGGCAGTGTCCACATGTGAATCTCACCTGCTTCTGACTAATACCATCTCCTATCCCTCTTTCTTTCCCTCTCTCAATTCTTCCCGCAGACCCTGGCCTTACACGACACTCGAGAGGGGCTACGATCTGGTGACAGGGGAGCAAGCCCCTGAAAAGATTCTCAGGTGAGGTGACAGTCCTGTTGGGGCATCTTCCCGGGGAGGGGGAAGGGTCTGATGGGGAGGTATAGTTATGCATCCTTAGTCAGTCAAGCCTGTGCACTTCCGGGATGCAATGGCCCAGGTTGCTATGGGAATCTAACTCCCATTTGTCTAGACTTAGATACTTGAACTGGAGGAGACATTGCTGATTATTTAGTCCAGTGGTTTTAAAACATTCTATAGCCATAGAACATCTTCTTGCCACTTGCATGAAATCTTGTGTGAAACTTCAGTACTTGAGCTGATGAAGACATAGAGCAAATTAAGTGGCAGAACTGGGAATCAGATTTTGGCTGAAATTGATTCAGAGTCTGCTCTTAACCTTTGTGCAGATTGCCCCTGCTGACTTAGCAGTCACTTCTGATCCCCCTGCTGGCTATCAGGACTGCTTGGAAAGGCAGAGCTGAAATTGTCCCTGTCCTCACAGAGCCCACTGCTACTTGGGAATCAGGACCTAGACTCAGGAGAATGAAACTATCAATACAGAGCATTGCATGGACTAAATGATTAGCAGAACGAAGAAATAACCATCCAAGTCTGGGCAGCATTGGCCCAAATTGGGCCTTGGAGAATGCAGAGGACTCAGTTGGTTGGGGGAGTGAGAAAGGGTCCTGGAAGGGATGGGAGGAGGGGCCCCCTTTTTCTGTTTCTCTCTGCTTCCCCGGGAGTTCCCCCAATGGAAACTCTTACATTGCAGGTCTACTTTCAGCTTGGGCCAAGGACTCTGGCTTCCTGTCAGCAAAAGCTTTGTGGTTCCGCCCGTGGAGCTGTCCATCAACCCCCTGGCCAGCTGCAAGACCGACGTGCTCGTCACGGAAGACCCTGCAGATGTCAGGTAGGGAAGTCTTCTCCAGCATCCTGTACCAAGGACTTCTTGGAGCACAGGAAGCCCCTCTGTTTCAGGGTCACAGGAACACCTGTGGAAAAGTACTTTTCATGTCATTGAAGGAGGCAGCTGCCTAGTAGATGTGTAAAGAAACACTGTCCAACGTGCTGTGCCCCACACTCCTGAAAGTGACCTCCATGGTGGGCCTCAGTGCTTTTATATTTCAACATTATTACTTTCCTTTTGGGTTTATATAAAATATGAGAGAGGTTAACATGTTATCTGGCTCATCCTGGGATCTTCAATGATCTTATCTAATAAAAGATCATACTTTTAGTATATTGGAGAGTTATGAAGGTAAAAGATTGGAGAGTGAGGTGCTTTCTGTCTTGACTCTGGTACTGGGAACAGACTTTGGGCTAATCCATAGGTTCTAATGTCTGGGTCAAATTAATTTGTTCTTTACTCATGAAAGGATGGAGACTACACCTTTTCTTAAACATTTTATACCTTATAGTTAACTTCATTATAGACTTACTCTACAGTGTTCTAATTAGTTGCTTACATATCATTCTGTCCTATTATGTGGTGAATCTCTCAAGGTCAAAGAAAATAAGTTATTTAGCTCTTTAATCCCCAGTTCCCAGTACATATTGGACATCTACTAGATGTTTATTGATTTAATTATACCGGTGACCTTAGATCTGATCCTAGCACTATTATGGAGCTTTCTAGTGGAGTATTTTTTCCCCTCCCAATTTGATTAGGGGAAGGATTCTAGAATTTAAATGTTACAACAAATGGACTCTGATTTTACTTTTGGAATTGGTTTGTGCACAGTTTATTGGCTCCTGAGCTGGAACTTGGTGACACGGCCCCCAGTATTTCCAGTGACTGTTACTTTACCCCTGCACAGCTGTCTTCGGGTCATTGTGAATCAAGATGCTATCATATGTCCATGGCATCTTAGTAGTGAGCTCCTAAAATCCGAGTCTCCTGCTTTACAATTGATTTATTCTCCCCTTCTCAACTTTTCATGGAAGGATGAACATAATATGATTTTTTATTGATATTTCTCCAAAGAGGCAATTTTAAAAAAGAACAGAAAATTAAAGGGATAGCACTTAGGAAATGAAGTGGTGATTGCTAGGAACTAAGGTGGGTTCATGCACACACAAGCTGATTCATGAGAGGTTGCCACTATTTCCATTTTTGATGGGGTTTAAGTCAGGAAGACTTTAGCAAACCATGTGCTGAGGTTTCTCTGCATTGCATATGTTAAAGATGGAGGAAAGACCATCTGGTCTAAGGACTCTTCTCCAAGATACCCTATGACTTTTCCTCAAATCAACTGCAAAAAGGTCTCCACCAGCTTTCCTCAGAGTTCTGTACTGTTGACACTGAATTTGTGATTTCAGTGAAGCTATAGATGTCAGACTGGCTGGTGATTAACACTCCCTCTGGAACTGAACAGGTCTGAATTACAGTCCCGTCTCCACCATGGATGAGCTCTTTAATCCTGGCCAAATTCAACTTGCTAACTTTCCATTTCTTTGCAAATGGGGACGATAACAGTGCCTTCCTCACAGGGTATAATGATAATGACAACTCGTATCCATTGATCATTTCCTATGTGCCAAACACTTTGCTAGTGTTCTCTTGTTACATCCTTATATCAACCCCGTAAAGTGGTGCTATTATTATTTTTATTTTACAAATTAAAACAAATCTGAGGCATAAAGGTGATACCTTCACTTACACGATCTCTCCAGCCCCAGAATCCATGTTCTTAACTATTGCATTGAAACACCTCCCAAGAATTGTTGTAATGATTAAGTCGTATGTGTGAATCCTGGTACACCATATACTCCCAAAGGTACAGTGTTACCAATTTTAAGTGCAATAAATTCCCACTGCGATGTGGTTCATGTAGAAACTGGTGATGATGGAGAAGGCAGAGCCGGGAAGGTGTGTACTATGTCATACTGCTGAGAATGACCATGATCTGTGGGATAATTAGTTGCCTTTTTTGCTTCAGTGTGAATTATTATGTTAAACAGCAAGCTAGACAAGGAGGAGACCAGAATATCAACCTTCAGGGACTTTAAAACGTCTTTGGAAATGCTAAAACAAAACTGAGAAAAGTATAGTACTCAAATTTATTTCAGGGGGAATATTGTAGGTAGTTGGAAGAAATACTCTAATAAGTTGAAAGGGGTGAGACCTTCAGAGGGCATGATCCAATAACAATTAGATGCTTCTGAACCACTAAGAATTCTGTGCCTGGTTACATGGAGGTTGTGTCTTCACTGAGTTGAGACCAGAGCAGGGTTGCTCAGGATAGGAGAGGGGATGGAATCCTGCAGCTATGACTCCTCCTTCTCAACCCTTTGAAGAATATCCAAATTTCAAATGTTTGAAGAATATTGGTTTGATTAGAGCATTAAATTACTGTCCTGCTTGGGGTGCCCGCACGTCTCTGTCTAGGCTTGGAGCAATTGCAGGCAGGCTTTGTAAGTCTTACCTTCATCCTCCCTGTCACATGCCCGTTGGTTTCACTGCAAGGGTGGATAAAATATTGCAGTTGTCATCATTCAAAAGAACCTATGCTACGTACATGGAGTTTTCCAAGCTGCACTAATAAACCTTGTTTGACATGACATTGCCCAGGCAAGCGTATCACGGACGTTTAAAGAATTAATAAGTCTGGGTCTGATGATATGTTAGAAATTAATAAATAATAGATCATAATTATAGATAGCCAATAATATGTCATAGAATCACAACTGAGAGATGAAAGGAAGAGCAGAGTCAGGAAGGAAAAGATAAGTGCTCCAGTAGGATTGGGAAGGAAGTTTAAAGGTACTTTCCCTGTTTGTATTTTGTTTGTTTGTGACAGATTACTGTGAAAGTATGGAATCTCACACTAGGGGAGGCAGAAGAACCTAGAGTCAAAAGTACAGGCTCTACCCACCTGGGTGTCTAAATTTAAAACATTTTTTGGTAACAAATGTTGGTGAGGATATGGAACTCCTGTACTTTTATAGGGGGGTTATAAAGTAGTATGACCACTATGTAAATCTGTTGGGCAGTATCTACTAAAGTTGAGCATCTACATGTCCTATAACCCGATTCCTAATTCCACTCCTAGTAAAATACCTAACAGAAATATGTCTATGTGCTGCAAATACTGCATTCAAGAGTACTAATGGTAGTATTCATTTGGACTGCCAAAAAGCTATAGGAAAAAAAATCCAGATGCCCAACAGTAACAAAACTGTGAATAAATAGAATAAGTAGATAAATAAAACAAAACAGTGGGATGCTATTAATGCTGAATATTAATGAACACAACCACCACACACATCACCACTTATGAATTTCAGAAATATGCGATTGAATTGTGGAAGACACAAATGAATATGTGCATTTAAATAAAGATCAAAACCAGTAAAAACTAATCCCTGATGTTATAAGAAAGACTAGGGGTTACCTTTGGGTGGCGGAGGGGGCCAATGATTCAAGTGAAGCATACCAGTGTGCTGATAATATTTGATTTCTTGATCTGGGTGGTGATGATATGGGGGTTTTCATTCTTTGTAAAAATGCATCAAACTGTACAGATATGATTTTCACACTTTCCTCTATGTGTGCCATATTCTGATTAAACATAAAGTTTACAATGTCAGGTAGTTTATTTTTTTTAAGAGCCTATGTTATAGAGCCCAATTGCACAGCCTGAGCTCAAACCCCAGCCCCACCACATGCTTCCCACGTGAGCTTTTCTGTAGCTTTGTTTGCCCGTGTGGACAACGTGGACAGAATGCCATAGGGGAGTGGCGAGATTTAAATGATGCAATACCTTGTAAAGTACTGAGTTTGCCACATGTGAGCTCACTTGAAGCATTAGCTGTTATGTTTGTTGTTATTGTAGCATAGCAGAGCGTGTTTGTGTTCTCTTTTTTCCTAATTCCTTTCTCTTTCTTTTGCTGAAAGGCTCCATCCAATTTATGATGCATCTTAAAATCAATAGGATCTTAGTATTGAGAGTTTACCCTAGTCCCTTTGTCATGGGGCTTAGGGAAGACTTAAATGAATATATAAAATCTAGTACAGTGCTGTAGGTGTAGCGGCCTTATGGGTATGGGAAGATTTGCAGAATGAACAACAAGGCATATGTATGGGACACGTACAGTGCTTGGGGGTGGAAAAAGAAGGAAAAATTCCTGACCACAGGAATTAGAAAAGTATTTGCAGGAGAGAGAACACTGGCAATTAACCTTGAATTGTGTATAGTATTTGGCTGTGTGGAATTTGAGGCAGGAGGGAAGACTTTCAAGTCTCAAAGGTTGAAGGGCCAAAGAAAAGAACTCTCCCCTAGACAATCTCCATTCTTCAGCCTGTTCCAGCAGAAAGTTGCTGGGAATGAGATTTTTAACTTTCAGGGGCACTAATGATGTCAGCTACAAAGGTGGAGGAGCAAGCTCTAGTTAAATTGCGTGCAGATCCCTTTCAATTCTGAAAATCTTAGCTGGGCCCCTCCTGTGTGCCAGGAACTGTGCCAGGGGCCATAGGAATACAGAGATGAATAAGGCTCACCTCTGCATGCAGAAATCTCATGGTGTAGCAAGGAGCACGGAACAAGAGATTGACTTGAGAGGTGAAAATAAAAGATACTCATGGAGAGAGAAGCATGGTGAGCAACGCTTATTGCTACACACTGGGCTTTCTTCACAATTTCACTGAGAGCTGATTCTTCTTATAAGAGACATGGAAGAATAGCTATTATAGTTGGAATAATAATCAGACACAAAGCCCAGCTTTTAGGAGCCCCTCAGTGATTTTTCTGTGATCTCAAATCAATGAAAATGAAATGATGAAATCCTGTTAATTCCTGCACAGTGTTGAAAGAATAATGGGACACCAGAATGCAAGCTAGCATCGCTCACTTGGTGACAGTTTTCACACTGAATTAGCTCCGAATAGAATTAAGAAGAGTTCCTTGTTCT